GAATCATCATTAGCTGTGGCGTCCTTCTGTCTTTATCATCTCCTTATTTGCTCTCTCTCCCCCCACCCCCACTACCCCTGTCTGCTCTTTCAGGATTACCAGGCCTGGTTGGACCTCCGAAAGCTGGAGTCAAAGCTCGGGGAGCGTTACATAACCCACGAGAGCGATGACAGCCGCTGGCAGCAGTACGCCCGTGACCACACGCTGCCCTACCCTGCTCACCTGGTGCCCCCGCCACCTGCGTCCGACGACGACGAGCTGGAGGGTGCAGAGGACGCAGACATGCAGGGGCTGACAGAGCGTGTTAGCATCCTTTGAAGAAGAAACCGAGGCGGAGGCAAGAGGAATGAAGAGTGCCTGCCCGAACTCTAGCGATTTTTAGTGCACCAAGAGCGTAGGATGGAGGTAGTCCTCTGTAAGAAAGCATAGCTTCAGGTCTCTTTGGCAGGCCGTCTGAACTCTGACCTCCTTCAGCTAGGACTGCTGCAGATTTGTTTCTGGGATGCAGATATTAAGGTTGGGAAAGAACTGTTTTGGACTCCAGCATGTAGACACAAAGTCAATCTGTTAATTGTAGGCATGTGCGAAACAAATTTTTTCGAAATGGGCTGGTTTTGGGTTTGTCTCCCCCAACTAGACATCTTTCTTAAGGTACAGTCACATTTACAAGTATTCTGCATATTTTCGCAGGCGAAACCCAGTCAGTTCAATGGAAATACATGCTTTCGTTAATTTCATGTCAGGACGAAAGATTTCCTCATGTAGATTTCGCAAATGGTTCAAGTTGGCCACACGCATTCACCACATTTACCAACAAAAAGCTGCTTGGTTTGAAAGTGAATTCTGTGTGAATGGAGCTTCATGAGTTGCTTAACTATTGACAATAGACAATGGACTTTTTCCCTGCGAAATTTTGCTAATGTGACCGTACCTTTAGGGGACAAAATAGAAGAGAATCTTCCAAAAGATCTCGAGACATGGTTTTAAAATGTTGAATATTTGCAGCATCTTAAAAACTTGCAGAACATTCAAAAAACAGTGCAAGATGTGACACAATGGCCAGAGATGTTCTTCTGAATGTGTCTTTCCTGACAGTGGTGCTTTGAAGGCGATGAATAAACTATGTTTTAAGAGTTTTAGTGGTCAAAACTGTCTAAAGGTATGGTCACATTTACCGGTGCTCCTTGAAATTGTGTGGCCAAAATCCAGTCATTTCAATATGCAATCGAGAGTTTCGTGTGAAGTCGTTCCTCAAGCAGATTGCATTCATGTTCATGTGAATTTGCCGCATTGATCAACAGAAAGTTGAAAATGTCTTCTGTGTGAACGGTGCTTCATACATGGACAATAGACCTTTTTTGCCCACAAAATTTCACCCAAATTTTGCCAATGTGACCTAAACTGCTAAAGCGCAGCATGCGATTAACATGCAAATTAAAGAAAAATCGTTAACAAGTTAGTCAATCTCGCTAATTGACTAATCGACCATCATGACCCATTCTTAGTTTGTTGTTCACAACAGATTGACGTCAAGCTGATATTCTCCAGGTCACCAGGAATGTATGAGTCATGATACAAATGCAAAGAAAAAAAAAGTATCTATTAAGCTGGACTTTTTTTCTTTTTTGTGCTCTGTGGTGACTCCACCTTTAGTTTCAGATCCACTTTTTACTTATTACTGAGAACCGTTTCACAAAATAACCTGGAAGAAGTCCAAGAGTCTGGTGTTTTCCAGTATCGTCATCGGTTTGCCCTCCATGGGGAAGATGACATGGATGTTATCTTATGAGGACTGATAAGCAGGCTGCCCCTCGGCCTTATCAGCATACAAAATAAGTGCACAAAGACTACCTAGACTGTTCTCAGATCAGCCGCTGTTAGCAACCGGCTGATCTTTGCTTGTATTGGATGTGTATTCTTATTCCTAACTGACCCTAGACCTGAGCATTAGGCTGCATGTCACTGAGAATTAGGTTTGCTTGAAACTTATTGCTATGAAGGACTATTTTGTACACATGTAACCTTAGAAATTCTGATGTAGTTTGTGGAAGGTAATGTCGGAGCATTGCCAGCAGGTATAATAAACACAGTGATGCATAAATCTGCTGAAATGAATCTTCTTGAGTCATGATGTTTGAGTCAAGTTGATTTTTTTTTATCCTCTTTTCCCGATTGATTCTCAAAAGAATCTAGTAGAGAGAATGACAAAATGAAAAACATCAAAATACATGGAGAACTTGTTCCAGGTACAATACGGCTTAAGCTTTACTGACAGCATCTGTGGGCACAGAAAATCATTTCAGCTTGTTCCTCAGTTTGTAAAAATAAGCAAAAGTGTTGAGTTTGAGTAATGCGCTTATTGTACAGTTGAAGTCTATGGAGAAAAGGCATTGTAGAGGGTTTAATACATTCATTCTTATACCAGTGTAATCATTTAACTGTATTTGAGCTATACATCATCCTTTTAATGATGAAACTACGACAGACGTTGGGAAAGATGGCGTGATAAATAACATATTAGAGGATGATGATGCGTTATTAAATGTCTTATTAAGGGAAATCAAAGGAAACATTTGCTAATTTAGTTTTTATAGCACAATTTAAATGGAATAATTGAAAACCATCAAAAGGCACTATATGTCCCACTTTAGCTTAAAAACCAGAGGGAAAACTTGCCACCGCTCTCATCTGATTTTATCAGAATATGGATAATGCTTTTTTTTTTTTTTTTATGTGTCATTAATGGTAAATTTATAAATAGCAGATTACCATTCAAAGGGAATAATTATATAAATTATATAGAGACTTATATTTTTTCATTTTAAATGATAATAAGACTAAATAATATATTGGAATTTTAAATATTAACTTATGTCAACAATGCAAGATACAGTGTTTTATTTCAAATTTATATAACAAATCTATTTCAAATCAATTCTGTTCTACTGAACCTTCTATTCCTCGAAGTACCTCTGTTGTCATAAAAATATTCAGCAAATCAGCCATATCAGCATATTAGACTGATTTCTGAAGGATCATGTGACACTGAAGGCTGGAGTAATTATGCTGAGAATTCAGATTTGCCATCAAAGGAATGAAAGACATTTTAAACTTTATTAAAATAGAAAATAAATTATAATAATACCTCACAATAATGATATTTTTGTCACACTTTAATTTAAGGTCCAGTTCTTGCTATTAATTCAATTCAAGTTTATTTGTATAGCGCTTTTCACGATACAAATCGTTGCAAAGCAACTTTACAGAAAATTAAGTTTCTACAATATTTAGTGGTAGCTTATCAGTGGTGACTGTCAGTTAATGTACATATGGCAGAAGTGTACGGAAAAATCAATTAAAGACGTAATCAAACAGACGATGAACACTATTAACAGCAATTATTATATGATGCAATCAAACTTATAGCAAAATGTGGTAGTTCTGTATGTTGTTTCAGGGTTGGCATCATCTGAGGTCCTCTGAGGGGTTGGCATCATCTCTTCCTGCCCTTGAATACCTGTATAGTTTTGTAATCGATCTATGAGTATGTCATGATCTATAGTGTCGAACACAGCACTAAGATCAAGTAAAACTAGCAATGAGATGAGCTATTAACAAATCATTAACTACGACTTTTGCCTCAATAAACTCAATATTATTAGTTGTTTAGTTTAGGTATTGGGTAGGATTAGGGATATAGAATATGGTCATGCAAAATATGTGCTTTATAAGTACTAATAAACCAGCCATTATGTTAATAATATTCATGCTAATGACTAGTTAGTAATAACTAACTAAAAACTAGTTAATAGTGAGAATTTTTTCCCTGTTCTAAAGTGTTAGTTTAGGGACAAACTCTTATTAACTTGCTTATTTGCATGCATATAGGCTATTTATTATCAATGGCTTATCCTGCATGACCATATTTTAGATCTAGTTCTATTGCAAGTGAATTACTGTGAACACATTTTTTGTTTGTTTTTTATAAACTGAGGGATACAACTATGTGATAATCGCCAAAATGCCACAGAAACCGCTGATAGAGTTCCACATTAATTGAACCAATAACTGCTTTAAGTTTAAACTCAAACAAATCTTTCCTGATTGAAACTGTGAATGGAACATTACGTTGTTTCAGATCTAAAAACTCGTTGTTTCTATGAAGTTAAAAAACATTAGGAAATGGAAAGTATCATATTTGCCCTGACAGTTTTAGGGAAAGCCCACATGTATTAGTCCAGAAACTGCTCTGTACTCTAGAAATCAGTCAGTTAGTAAGATAAAAGAAATGGCAAACCAGCAGAAACGGGAAGAATATGAAACAAATAACATTTTTTATATTAAAAATATAAAACAGTAATGAACCCCAAGCAGCAGGCAACCACAAATCAATGTGTACAGCATAAACATGAATTATTTAACAATACGTTTTAGATACAAGTCTCATTCCTTACCTGTATTATTATAGTCAATAATTTATGAAATTCACTGAAAGGTCAAAACACCTTTTTTGAAAGGTCAAAACACCTTACAACCTTGAGTTGTACCTTTTTATCAGACATAGGTGAACTGCTCCACATTTCCTCATGGAACGTAACCATTAAATAATCAGTTAAGAGAATATTAAGTTTATATAGGTTTAACCAAATTTCTCAGAAGTCTCAGCCTTTACCAGAACATTTCAGACAGAGAAACAGTAGGTGGTTTGGCATTTGAGGAACAAAAAATGTTGATAAGGCTTTGATTCAGTTTTGATTTATCTATTCAATCAGGTTTTACTAACAGTGGTGTCTTAAAGCGGAAAAACATGACTGAGTGCTCATAATGCAAATTATAGTTTTATTTATTTACAGCCATTATGGCAAGCACAGAGAACATGTTAACAAGTCTGTAGTGTCTATGCTAAACAGGACGTTGTGGCATTGTGTCAGACTGCCTCTGAGGCAGACTGAACCATCACTGGAAGTTTGTCATCTGTCGTTCACCGCGTGTCTGGAAAAAGCTTTTACTCATTGCGGTTCCCTCTAACGCTATCACATGCAGCTCTAAGGAATAAAACAAAAAAACAACCTAGCCCTAGCCTAACATCTTCCTGTAGACATACATGTGCGAGAGCATGTGAATATCTCTCCTCCCCTTTCTCTCTCTCAATTCATCTCCTCTCCATCCACTCTGCGCGAAGTGCATCGGCTGAACCTGCTCTCACAGGGTCACTTTTGATCTTCTCCTGCCAGGAAGCATTATTAATGTGCATGACACCCTCTTCACGTCTGAGGAACTCAGCTGTGCCACTTTTCTCAGAGGTCACGCGGGCCTGGAGCTGGACTTGAGGCGGTTCTGGGACTGAGGTTGTAAAGTTACACTGCTGGGATTGGGTGGACACCCTTCTCTGGTTGGAGCTGGTGGAGAACAATTCATAATTCGTTGTGTTGATTCGCAGGTGAGGTTCTTTAATTTTTTTGTGCTGGTTTTGTTACAAGAATTACAAGAATAATGGTGAACCAGTGTGTATGTGTAAATAAGATAAAATCAGAGGGTGGACACGCTTGTTTGTTTCCTGTGCTATAGATAGTAACACTACTAATGCGGTTGTCAGACACTTGATCCTAATATTTTAAAATGTTTACAACACTGGGATGCGTATATAGAGCATCCGGCTGCCACGTCTAGTATAATAGGGAGTTTTGAAAGTACATGTTTGTAACATTTTAATCAGACTAATAATATGTTTTGAAGTTAGTAAATTGCATTGCGAGAAATCAAGCAAAATTAATACATTTTGGGAGATAATTATACCTTAGAAAAAGTAACGGCTGACAATTAATTTGATTTAATATTGTGATATTGTTAAACTATGAGGTGCGTCTTAGAATTTATTTAATTTATAAACTGACAGTCATATAGCATGCAGAAAAATATGGGACTTTCACTTGTCTTTGAAGAGTTTTTTTTTTCTTGAAATGATGAGGTAATTATGATGGTTTTAATAATTAGTCATTAATGGAGTAAAAGGGGACAAAATATGATGGTAACCGAGATGACGCACATCCTGGAAATTTCCAAAAAGTGCATCTCAACATCTCAAGGTGTGTTAACCATCATCTGTTACCATCATATTGTCCCCTCTAAAGCAATGAACTAATCAATTAATAAGTTCAAATTGTTATAAAAATGTTAAAATTGTCATAACATGTCATAAAAGCATTGTCATAACAGGCACATGACAGTCGCCTGATTTATTTAGTTAGTTATTTAATTTGACCGTCTGTTTGTTTGTTAGCATCATATATGTAGAATAAATAAATACAAAAATTAATGCAGAACAATGACAAAAAAATTAAAAATACTAAATTGTTGAATGTTTTAAAAAATGTATTTATTAATTTGTATTAGTAGTGCTCTCAAACGATTAATCGCGATTAATCGCATCCAAAATAAGTTTTTGCTTTATTATGTATATATATAAATAGACACATGTGCATGTATATATATAAGAAAAATGTTATGTTTATATATTAAATATATTTATATATAATATAAACTATATGAATATAAATATATACATGTAAATATTTTCAAAATGTATACTGTATGTGTGTATTTATATCTAAACAATAAATATACACAGTACACACACACATATATTATGTAAACAAAAACTTTTGGTAACACTTTCTATGAAGTCCATATTATAATACATTATAAGGGTATTCTTAAGGCATTATAAGGAATGCATAATGCATTATATATAAAAAAAACGTTATAATATGTTATATCATCTTATTATAATACATTAAAAATGTTATTATGAATATTCATATTTACTTATTTGTGGTTATAGCTTTTAAGAGTATGATGATTTATAACACACAGTGAACGATGCATCAACTTAAGTTACAATGGATTATATTTCTCATAGTTATAATGTATTATAAGTCTCACATCTTGCCATCTTTATTATGCTACTTTACTTAAAGCAATCAAAGACCACTTATAAGTATAGTAATAATAATAATACTTTTTTTTTCTCAAACAGCCATATAAGATAAGATATCAGATCAGATGAATGTGTAATATGACACATTTGCTTTGAACTATTTTTACTGTAATATCAGTTTGATTATTTTGATGGTACCTTTTAGACAGCTGTTGATAAGTAACTCTGCAACATGTCAACTATCAGTCATTGGAGTATTAGTAGTGTGTCTGCTAAATATATGCTATCACTTTATTTTGATGGTTCCCTAACAGACAAACTCACTAGAAGTAACGTTGCAAGTACGTCAACATTCTACCTACCCTAACCTTAAAGGTGGGGTAAGCGATTTTTCAAAAACGCTTTAGACAACTGATTCGGGCCAGTAGCAAAACAAACTTGTAGCCAATCAGCAGTAAGGGGCATGTCTACTCATGATGTGGAGGAGAGAGCGTTCAGTGCACAGGATGGACATTAGCCGAGCCGAGCGACAGAAAGATAGATGGCGGATAAAAAACAATAGAGGAAAACACCTAACACCGTGTCTGCGCCGCAACAGCTAAAGTCTGTCTAGTACACTGGACGCGACAAAGCGACTGTTGAAAATCATTTGAAATTTGTGTCAATACGTCATAAATAGAACGCAGCAGCAGTTTTTTGTCGTGTCGTGCCGCGCCGCATCCAGTGTAGACCATAGATATGTATATATATCTATGGTGTAGACAGCATCACTGATTATAATGAGTTCCAAAGTATTTTGTCGCGCCGCGCCACTCGCGTCCGGTGTAGACATGGTGTAACATTGGTTTTGCTTTGTTTCACAGAACTAATCGTTGCCTGGGTTGCGTACGTATGTGCGGGGCAAAATCCCTTTTGGGGTAGGGGCGTGTTTTTTTTGGTGATTTCAAATGTCAACATTGGCTACCAGAAATCGCTTACCCCACCTAAGCCTACCAATACTCTAATGAGAGTTAGTTGACATGTAGTTGCAAAGTTGATTATAGTCAATAGACTAAGGGGACCATCAAAATAAAATGTAACCTAACATATAAACATTGCATTCTTTTTCAGTTTAAATGATTAACTAGCTCACATCAAAATTAATATTAGCCAATAGCCTCACAGGGGAACACTCAAATAACACACCACAACTTACAAGATGTAGTAAGATACTGTGCAGATCTTAAATAAACAATGTCAAGATATATAGTCCATTATAAATGTAAAAGTAGATTTAATATGGTGTTCATTGTGTTATAAATAATCATAATCTTAAACGTTATAACCACAAATGCGTAAGCATTATAATGTATTATAACTGTTGTCATGATTATGTATTAGATTATATAACATATTATAAGGTTTTTTATGCATTCATTATAATGCCTTAAGAATACCCTTATAATGTATTACAAATATGGGCTTCATAGAAAGTGTTACCAAGCTTTTATTTTGAATGCGATTAATTGTGATTATTCTTTTGACAGCCCTAATTATTAGTCTATATTTACATATAGTAAAGCTGGCTTTAATTATTTTTCACACGTGTATTGTAAATGACAAACTGAAATGGCATCTATTTTGCAAAATGAACCCTTTGATTCTGAAGTGCACCATTCTCTCACCCCACAATAAGATTTTAAATATGTGAAGTGCTTTACTCGGTAAAAAAAAAAAGATGCAGACTAGTCTGTTTTTTTTTGAGTAATCAACAATCTCCTCATTGCGTGACCCAAGGCATTTTTAGGGTCATATGTCTCTGCACTGACTTAGAATTTATAACATAAATTTATAACAGTTAGTTTTGTTCTGCACTTACATAATTTTCCTGCAGCCTGAGTATGCAGTGGCCTCAGGATGGGAGTTGGTTAGGGGGCGATTATGCCATTCAGAGGGGCTGACAGGACGTGCAGCCCACCACTCTTCTTTCCAGACCACTAGCCTGTCTCAACAGCTCTCAGGGGTGCTCATTAAACCTGCAATCACAATAGCAAAACAAAATAAAGCAGTGTAAACACATTACGTAAGCTAAGGGAAAGGAAACAGAAAGGAAAACTCCATTAAAGTAGATGTGTTCATCAATACTGTACAGTAACCGCTGACTGAAGAGTCCCACATTATCCCTGACTTCCTTTCTGGACAAACATTGAAAACATCCTACCCAGATTTTTAATAATACTATCACTAATACAGTTGTTAGACCATCCCTAACATTGAAAAAATCAGTGTAATGCACACCCTCTAATGGCCTTTTGCTTTATTGAGCCCCAAATATGCAATCTGATAAAAAACATGCTGTGAAAACAACAACAACTGTTCTTTTAAAGGAACACCAAATGATAACTTTTTTTTTATGCTTTCAGCAGCTGTGAAAAAAAACTTAATTGTATTAAATGTGCACTTGTAGTGAACTTCAAATCTTAAAAGTATATTTTCAAAACATGAATAAAAAGGCCACTTAAATGTACTTAAAGAGAGTACACTTGCATTAATATGTTTTAACGTGCTTAAGTACACTTTTAAAAAGTGCACTTTGAAATAATGTAAAATTCATGATTTTAAAGTACATTTTAAATCATTGTTTAAATAATCTTTTGTTGTTCTTTAATGTAATGCAGTTATTTTGATGTGTTGACTGATTGCATACTAAATCACATGAACTTTAATTCTAATTTTAATTGAAGTATGTTATTTGAAATTACATAAAGGATTAATATAATTGAATACATTTGTATATTTGAAGACTTCAGATTCAAAAACCTCTAAGTCCGTCTAATATTTTTCTTTTACATGAGCATTTTTATCAGGCTCCTATGAAAATAACATTGGACATTTTTTAAAATAAGGCATTCAGTAACTGACTAATAACTAAACACAGGAGCCTGATAAAAATTGCTAATTTAAAAGAAAAAAAAAAAGTATTTAGAGGTGTTTGCATCTGAAGTCTTAATTTATAATTGCAATTAAATAATATATTTTAACATGCAAATAATGAAGTGCCTGAAAACATTATATTACGTTTGCACTTAAGTGAATCTTTTAAAGTGTTTTATTTCTGTAATATGCTTTTAAAAGTATGCCAAGGTATACTTATTTTTCACAAAGGAGCGAGTAGGAACACAACAAAACCATGTGATTCATTGCTCACTTGATCCGTTTTGGACTTTTCATGTCAAACATTCTGAACTTGGAAAATATTATAATAAAAGTACCTGTGTATTTCCTTTATGGTACAGCCCCTTTTGTGGTTTGGATCATGTGGTTATGGTTTAAATTAATTTCTTGGCCTGTGTCCATGTTTGTAATATCTGGTGTTTGAGTGGCAACATTTATGTGCAAAATCCGAAAACATCATTATGCAGTATTTAAAATCATCAGAGCATCAGAGATATATGGCGTATGTTGTCATTGGTTTAAAAGTGAATATTACATTTAAACAACAGTAAACAACGTGCAGTTTCTAT